CATTCATTTCCTCCATTGCATCCTTCCACTTAGATACAGAGAGAGCTTCCTACATAGTTTTAGGAATGGATATAGCAGAAATGGATGCCAAATAGGATTTATAGGATGGTGAAAGGTGGTCATATGAGAGAAATTGTGATATGCAATTAGCAGTGGATGTGATACATCTTTGTTTCCTCTTACAAACTGCAATGGGAAGGTCAAGATCATCAGTAGAAGGCAATGGCTCCGTGATGGTAGTCTGAAGAGTGGAAGGTGAAGTTGTAGTAACTAGATCCTACTGTAGAGGAAACTAGAACTGGCCTGGGCTGAACAAGAGAACCAAAATTAACTTACCTCCACCTCCTATGGAAAACCCTCAACTCCTTACATTTATAACAATGATCCTCCTGACACAATTCCTTTTCGAGAACAAGGATAGGAAGAGGAACTTCAAGAACAAACACACCTCTCTCATATCTCTCCCCCTGAGATGAAACTCCTATATAATAAGGAACATTCTCAAAAAATGTAACATCCGTAGACATAAACTAAGAACCAGAAGTTGGATCATAACAGCAATATTCATTTTGATTTTGTGCATAACTGAGAAAAATGCATTTGGAGGCTTTAGGATCAAATTTAGAATGATTAGGCCCCAAAATCTGAACAAAACATGTGCACCCAAAGACTTTAAGATGAATGGTAAACAAGTCTTTTTCAGGGTATAATAAAGTGAAAGGAGCTTTCATACCTAGTACACAAGAAGGAATTCAATTAATGAGATACACAGCCATATGAATTGCATCCCCCCAAAAATGTATAGGGACATTTGAATTTAGCATAATGCTTCTTGTAACCTCAAGGATGTGACTGTTCTTTCTCTCAGCTACCCCATTTTGCTGAGGGGTACGAGGACAGGTTCTCTAATGAATAACCCCATATTCAAGGAAGTACGAGTTCAATGATTTAGTGAAGTACTCCTTGGCATTACCAAATCTGAAAGCTTTGATTCTAAACCCAAATTGAGTGAGAACCATTTGGTGAAAAGCACGGGTCAAAATAGGGACCTCATAACGGGAATGCATAAGATAAACCCAAGAGAAACAAGAATAATCATCAACAAATAACAAAAAATACTTGTATCCCCCCATAGCAGTGATATGATATGGTCCCCAAGCATCAGTATGCACAATTTCAAAAGGAACAATGCTTCTTTTATTACTCAAAGTATAGATTGATCTACAATGTTTTGCCAACTCACAACTTTCACACTTTAGACCAAACACTTGGATTGATTCAAACAAAGTAGGAAAAGGATTCCTTGAAGACCAAAAAGTCAAATGACCTAACCAATTATGCCAGAGCATAATCTAACTCACAAACTGAGAGACGAAAGACTTTCCAACACCTTTATTTCTTCTAGGTGGATGCTCAAGAAAGTAGATCCCATTCGCTTAATGGCCAATCTAATCACCTTCTTTGTCACTAGATCCTGGAAAACACAATGATAGGAAAAAGGCCACTGAATAATTTTGACTTTAGTAATGCTACTAACAAAAAGAAGGTTAGTACTAAGTTTGGGCACATGTAAAGCTGATGATAAGGAAAGGGTGCCTCTACCAAAGGACAAATGATAAGAAGAAAACAATGAGGCAAAACTGGTCATATGGTCAGAGGCTACCCGAATCTACTATCCAAACAAGACCAGTGTTACCTGGAGTTGAGGCATGACAAGCAGTAGCTCTTGTACTTGAGTGAGCAAAAGCTGAAGTAGAGGTAGAAGGACCAGAGGTAGACTGGGATGGTCCAATAATGCCAGCTTCATTCTTCAACTGTGTCAAGGCTTCCCTGGCAGTAGCCAAGGCATCCAAGGAAGTAGATCTAGCTCCAGTAGAGGGTGAAACATCTATAGCAGTGGCAACATTTGTGCTTCCCTTCTTATTCTTAACTCTTGAAGGTGCCAACTGAAGATAAAACTTCCAACAAGTCTCTTTAGTGTGTCAAGGTTTCTTGCAATAGTCACAAATGACCTCCATTTTTTCTTCCTTTCTTACCTCTCTCTCCTCATCACTATAATGCTTCAACTTCATAGTTGCTAAAGCTTATTCAATTTGGGAATTGTGTAACATAACTTTCCTTCTACTCTCCTCACTACACACTAAAGAATATGCTTGAGACAAGGAAACGCTTTCCCTAGTAAATTGTTGTTGTCTCACAATATCATATTCAGAATTTAGCCCTGCAAGGAATTCAAAAACCCTATTTCTTTCCACTAATTTGTTATATGTTGTTGCATCCTTTTGACTTTCCAATTCAATTGTTTCCAAGTGATCAATTTCATGCCATAGAGACTTCAAAGTTGAGAATTAAATCAAAACAGGTTTCTCCCCTATTTCAGATTTGCCACTTCAATTTTCAGCTCATAGGCCCTTGCTACATCAAGGGGCTGAAAGTAAGTTTCCTTCATATTATCCCAAATGTCTTTAGCAGTCTTTGCCCAAAGATAGTTTCTACTGATATGAGGCTGCATTGAGTTGCAAAGCCAAGTCAAGACTAGGTAAATTTCTTGAACCCACTTTGCATAGGAAGGGTCTTCCATGGCTGGCATCTTAGTGTCACCATTTACATACCCTAACTTACCCCTTCTTCCAATGGCCATCATTGCAGATTGATCCCACTCAAGATAGTTTGCTCCATCAAACTTGATGGTCGTAATCTGGAAGGAGTTGCTGTCTGTCACACTACCAGCCCCTACAAGTTCTTCCCTGATTGATTTAAACTCATTTCCAATATTCTCCATGCTGGACCGAACAAGATATCACACTTCTCGGTTCTTTTCTGATAAAAAGAAATGATTTCTTTTTAAAAAATCAGCAGTCAAGCTGTAACCAATCAGACACAACACAAAACTGGTTGTTCCAACAAGGAAAAACCCTAGAAATCAGAAGAGAACACAATCAAACAAGTATCTCTGATGTTTGCAGTCGATCTCTAAACAAATAAAAAAACTACCCAGAAAATATTGAGTGCCACCTTCAACCTGAGGTTTAACCCCTAAACCTCAATCGAACAAGTATCTCTAGTTCTTCCTGATAACTGGGCAAAACAGAAATAAAAAAAGTGCTATAACAGTGAACCAAACTCCATCGACCTCCAAGAATCAGGCAAAAAAAGGTCTGAAACTCCAGCCCTAATAGAGTCTCATGCAGCCAGCTGGGCTAAGCATACATGAGACCAAAACCTAAACCTGCTCTGATACCAACTTGAAATATTGTTTTAGAAGTCCTAAGTTTAGTTCGAAATCTGTTCAAGAAAAGAAAAAAGAAAAGAAGAACAGAGGAGGAGAAGAAGAAAAGAAGGAGAAGAGAAGAAGGAATGAGAGGAAGAGAGAGCAGAATGAATAGGTTCTGCCGATTGTGAAAAGGTGATACAATGACAAAAATACCTCTGCCGATTGTGACAGAGAGGAAAACAAGAATAGCAGCCTGAAACAATTACAAATAAAGATGGGGAGCATATATCTGCATATAAAAAACATATAAAAACAATTAAGTATCCCTGTCTACATCTCTACATATATTACATTATTTGTGTACTTCAATATTTATTTATTGGAGAGATCTCATATTTGCCATCTGTGTCAATAGTTTTATGTTGGTTATGACTTTATTCTTCATGTGGAGAAGGGTAATAACCACTTTCAGTTTGCATGTAATGTTGTCATATTGCTCTAAGCAGGTTGCATGAACTCTACAGGTTCTATCAAGGGGTAAAACTTCTAGATCCCCTTCCTAGGTTATTTTGTTGCTCTATTAATAAAATTTAAGGTGGCAATCCCTTCATCTTAGATGTTTGAAGCTATAAAAGGGAGCACTCAGAGGCTGCAAGGGGAAGATTCCATTGGTTTATTCACGACATATAGGACATTCCACTAGAGCTGAGGCATTTTCACTTCTTCAGGGCTTACACTTGCTAATGACCCTAGGCTGCATGAGGGCTGACATGGAGGGTAATTCATAATTGGTGATTAGGATGGAAGACAAATGGTGGGGACAGACTGTTGATTTTGTCATATTATTAGAGAGGCAAGTTATGAGCTTCAAGTGTGAATATCTTGTTCAAATAGATCTGAGAATCAGCCAAAACTCTAGCAGATTCATTAACTAGAGAATGGTTAGGGAGGGAAGAGCTACATTGGGGTCCTCTCGAGGCTTAGGCTAAGGGTTTGTTGTATTGTAAATGGGAGAGCCAGCATGATCTAGTCTCTTGTCCTCCCATCCTATAAGCTCTCTCTTTATACCTTATTTTTTTATCTTTAAAAAATTCTCTTTGATCTTGTTATGAACCAAAAAGAATTCTTCTAATTTCCTAAACATTATCAAGCAAATAAATTAAAAGAGGGTAACATTTCCCACAACATGACTTCTACCACTATTTGAAGCTAATAGTCCTTCTGTTTTATGAATGAAGGGCCATTCCACAATGATGGTCCAGGATATCTAGGGTCTTGGTAGGGGAAGACTCTTATAAGACTTAACATTTAGCTTTTTTCTTTGTTGCACAAAGTGGCTTCTCTCAGATTCAAACCAAAATTCTTTGATCAATAACAAAGAGATTTATCAATGGTCGAAAAAGTGAGGACACAAGCAATACAAGGATGCTTTTATAGATTTACAATGATAAACCCATCAACTTTCGGCTTCTTGTAATTATTCAAATGTTCTTTGTCTCCTCATCTTTTTTGCCAAAATCTTAAATGATGATGTTGAAGTGGCTTAGAAGATTTAAATTAAAGTTATTTGATGTCTTTTTCTTAATTGTTTGCATTCTTTCCAACTCCTTCCCTCTCAACCCCAACATTTGCTGTAATTAGAATAGCATATTAATCCAATTAATCCTATCAGATCAAAAGTAAATTTTGATTAATTCATCAATCCAATAGCATTGTCCTGAAATTGGAAAATAAAATGCAAATTCGTGGCAGCAAAAATACAATTGCCAAACACAAAGTAACCTACCTATTGTTGGGACAGTTGATAAAACTTCTCCAATGTGCAGTTTGTATAATATGGTTGTCTTACCCGCAGCATCCAAACCAAGCATCACAACCTAAGCCAGCTCAATGGAGAAATATTAATAAGAAAAATGTTTCAGGGTCATGGAAAGCAAGCACAGAATATAAAATGAAAATGGCCAAAACATTGTTGGAAACAAGAAAGAAATGTACAGAATTTTCTAAGAAACAACTTCAAGAAAAGCAAAAAGGTAGATGATATAAAAATGGATACAAGTATTGGAGTCAAAGCCTTGCCTAGGCAAGTTACCTAGGCACTTTGGAGGACTATTGCCTAGGTTACCAACTAGGTGGGTTGTATAGATATAAACACCTTATTGGATGCAAATAAACGATCACACCCCCTTTATAAGTATCTGCAACATATTTTGGGCCATAAGTAAAGATAAAAAATTAGGGCTCTTAATCCCTGTATATGTATTTATTCATTATTTTGTACCAGGCAGGTTATTCAAAAGTCGTCATTTCTTTTGAAATTCAGTGTGTGTGATTTGTTGTTAAATCATTTATTGATTTATTTTATACACTACTAGTTTATAATTAACAAGTTATTACATAATACATGCATACAATTATATATTTGTACTGTAAAATATGTATATATTTATTTATTTTAGTGGTGCAATCTTCATCCACCAGAACCAACTTCCAAAAGGAGTGGGCACGTCAGCCAGTAAATCAAGTAAAGCTCAATTTTGATAGGTGTTGCTTGGGAAACCCAGGTAATTCTAGCATATGAGGTGTGTGTAGGGATTGCCACAGGGCTGTAGTGGCAATATTTTCAGGTCCCATAGGGTTTGGGGACTCCATGAAAGCAGAAATAATGGCTATACTACAAGGCCTAAGGCTAGATAAAAAATTAAACATACAATGGTTAGTGGTGGAAGGACTTGTGGTAGTATAGTTAAAGAAGGATAGCCAAGGTAGATGGCAAAACAGGCACATTTTAAAGGAAATCAAACACCTAGCAAGGGAATTGCAAGTGTCAGTTAATTGGATTTCTAGATCTATAAATAGTTTAGGTGATTCACTTGCAAGATAAGGGGATAAACTGGGAAGTGGGAACAACTATTTTAGGGGGTAATTAGTGAAGATTGTATGAAAAGCCATATCTTAAAGTGAAGAAAGGGGTTATGTTGTGCATGCCGGCCTAACGGAGAAGCAAATCTCGTTGTATGTAGCATTCTTTGTTACAATCAATAAAATCATACTTTTAACAATAAAAAAAGGACATGACAGAATTATTTTGCACTTTTGACATTTAGCCAGAACCAGTCTCAAACGTTCTTCATTAAGTTCAAAGCCAAAGTTCAGAACCATTTCATCAAGTATTTTGGAAGGCAACAAGTAACCCTATTCTCCTTCTCTTCATTGATTGAATATTGGCTGCTGAAAGATCTAGCAAACAATGGCACATCCTTTGGGCAGTGTTATCGGGACACCTTGAAATTAAAGGGTTTAAACGTGCCACTGCTTGGACATTGTGCTGACACTTGGCACTTGGTACATGGTATGACACTTCTTATAACAGTTTGATGATGCTCCAACTGAAGTCAGCAAGAACCCTTGGCATCTGGCACTCGTATATAATTACAAGAAAGATACATCCAGTAGTGAGTTCACACTCTGCTTTTCTTATTTTCAATATATTTTTAAACTGCTTATGTAATTAAATGTCATTTATTACAATGTCCCCTGTCACAATTTCTGGAAGTTGATGTGATGGATACCCATGGTACATACCAAGGTAATACTACCTTTGCAACTTTATCTTTTTCTTTTTTGATCAATAATTAGTAATTGTATTAATTCAGAAACTCAATGCATCAACAAGAATATAAAGAAGGCCAAGAAACAAAAATTTTCATTTAAGTCAGATTTGCAGCAATTCCAGGCTCTGGTATTCCCATAGTTGTCAAGGCGACGCCTAGGTGACAAGGCGCCCTTGAAGGCTCACCTCGCCCAGTCGCCAAGTAGGTTTGTGCACTATGTTATAAAATACTTTTATATTTTTTATTTTTTGACATTATAATTATAAAATAGGCATTATTAAACTAGAATACTCATTTTATGTGTTTATGTACTAATTTCATTTTATTATTTTCTTATCTGTTAGGGTTTAATCAACACAAACATTGCTAACTGCTGTATTGAACCCATGGTTCAAAGTACCAAACTACCGATACACCTCTGTGTATCAGCAGAGGTGTATCAGTACTTATAATGATACTCCCCCTATTTTTTTATTTCTTTGGTTTTCAATTTCATTTTTAAATATATATATTATTTTAAAAATGGGTTCCCTTCCCGAAAACAGCAGTAAACATGTGTATTGGGGTGCCAAAGATACAATACAATACAATACACCTATACGGGCATATCATATCGAAGTTTTGATCCTTAATTGAATCCTCAAAGATTTCAGAACCTGAACCAAGCAAGGGAAGAACTTAAAATTTTGTCTAATCAACACATTTTCTTCTTACAGATCTTCTTCTTCCACCTTTTCTTTTCTTCTTTTCCTATAACAAAAGTAGGGGTTCGGCCCCTATATTTTTTGAATTTTCTTTCCTTTGTTCCTTTTCTTCTCATAAAATGTTGATTTTCTAAACTTAAAACATGAAATCTATACCTCTCTTATGAAAATTATGGATAATTATTAAGGAAATATGGTTATGGAACCTAGGGAACTACCCTAGGATATATGGTTTTACTTAAAAAAAAAAACATCACCTAGGTGACTAGGCGACTAGATGACAAGGCGCCCCCTGTTGCCTAGCCTCGCCTTGGCGCCTTAAAAACTATGGGTATTCCCAATAAAAATTGTTCTCTCTTCACTCCAGGTTAGGCCAAAGTGTCATCTATTAAGTTAGCTGAACAAGGAATCCATCTGAATGTGCAATTCAAATTGGATGCCAAAGCAATGGCTTCTCTGATCATCTGTGTCAGCCTCCAAGGACCCACATCTTTGTTCTCCAGCCATCTGAAGACCACCTTACAATTTCCTTCAACCATCAGATCCGACCATCCTTGTGCTTGGGCTAATTTTAGTCCTTTGCAACTTTACTTTTGCTATTTGGTGGTTTATTCAAGACAGAAATAATGGATTTTTTTAAGAAAAGAAGTTTCAAAGATCAAATCATCAAATCATAGGGAAGGTTGAACATACTATCTTTCTTCATACTTCTATTTATCAGATCTTGAGTGTTGAATTTCTCTAGGCTTTGTAATGATCGGGAGAGATTCCTTGCTGATTTTCTGTTTCCTAAGCTGAGGAGAGAAGATTAGTTGTATATGTTGTATATCAATCAGCCAAAAAGCCCATACCTTGTATCTTTTGTAGAGGGAGGTATGCAGCTCCTATGTATCTTTTTTACCTATTACAAGCTTTTCTTTTAATGTTAACAAGATAAAAGTATGCACAGATATAGAAAGATGCAACAAGCCCCTAGGGACTGAGGTAGAAAAACAGCATGAGTAAGCCTTTATCAAGAACTGTACTAAAAGAAAGTTCCTCTCTTGTCATCCCCATCACCCAAGTGCAATATTATCAGAAAATGAGTTTGTGTATTAGAACTGATTTGCATGCTTCACAAAAATTTGAATATTTCTATTATTAACTCTAGTTTCATTGTCAGAATTGCAACTTGCAATAGGATGGAAAAGTCAGATATGTAAAGAAAAAGTTTTACAGAAGAAAATAACAGAGAAATACAAAAGACTATGTGGCACAACAAAAACATGGCCACTCTGTCTCAAAAAGTTAAAAAAAAAAAGAAACCTAGGTAATATTTTTATAATATGGAAAAATAACCTTCTCACAGAAGTTTATCAAAATTTAGAATCTCAAAAGTACAGTTACATACATCAATCAGTAATGGAAGCAATTGTTATACATTAAATATGCATGCATGTGTGAAGAACCATTTGAAAATGACTAATATAAATTATAATAAGCCTGGTTTATAAAGAAAGCCAAAAATACTGAACACTCACTTTGTGTATTATGAGATCTCAAGTCTCAATAACCTTAGGTTCCACCTTAGCTCTCTAACATAACTAAACTTTTCTATGAAAAAGAAAAATTTTATAAATACAATTTATGTTGTATGATGAGAAAACCTTCCAATTCAGAAAACCTTTTTAGCCTTTATATCCTATGTTTTATAGTATAAAATACTGATCAAGTAAGTAAACCCTAAAGTGAAAGAATTAACCAAAAAGTAATTCTCTAATAACATATTTCATAATGAATTAAAAAACTGTATATGATACCTCCAGCACACCCTGGCTAGAAATCAACTGGAGAAGGATTTTATTATTAAAAATATTCTTTTATCAGGACTGCCCAAGATAGATGGTGTCTTTAGAAACTATGAAGGATCCATTTGCATGAACTTTTCAAGTCCAGTAGGAGAAGGCTGAGCTGCTTGCATTGCTACAAGGGCTAAAATTGGCCTTGTTCTCACACAGGAATGGCCTATTGGTTGAAAAGGTTCCATGTTGTGAATGGATAAGCATCTCTGTCAGCACATGGACCTTTTTCTTGATAAATAACAACACATGGACCTTAGCAGCTTAGACATCTTATAAGGAGGCTAAGTTTTTAGCCAGCAGCCTGAATAGTTTGTCAGGAGGTTCGCAGAGCAGCTAATAACTTGACAGACTCATTTGCAAGAGGAGGGATTGGGAGGCCTGAACTCCTCCAAGGAGATCCAGGCCTAGGAGCACATCAACACATCTGGATTGCTTTGCTACTGTTTTTCCTTCTTGTATGATTATATGCTTTTTGTCAGTTACATGCTGTGTACATCATACATTTGTTCCTGCTGTTAGTCTTCGACACCACTGTTCTTTTCATTTGCTCCTTAATAAATTCATTTTTGATCATTGATATTGGTAAAAACAATATTGCTATCAATATTCTTTACCATTTCTCTCAAAAAAATATTTCTATCAATATGTTTTTAACAGAAATCACTGGGCCTATTACATTCAACAAAACTCAAGTAAGCCTTGTCCCAAACCTATGTGGTCGGTTACATGAATCCTGTTCTTCCCTTTCACTCTTACCCCAAACAATCAAACATTAGTGACTTACCAAATCACACTTGTCTTAATTCTCATTAGTAAATGAGGAAGGGCACAATTCAATCATTATGAACGGACCTAGAAGCAACTTCAGTTCAGCAAATTGCCAAGCAAATATAATACAATTAACTGATCAAAATTTTTTCAGTAAACTATTTTTTCAGGTGTAGGATATCAGCAATAAACTCGACAATAACCAGAATGCACCAATAAATAGCTGAATTTTGCCGCTTCATAAAAATAAAATCCATTGTGAGAATTGAAGCAACGACCTGAGATCAAATCAATTTCACCCATAAACATACCAACCCACTTGCCCACCCATTACCACGAAGTTGAAATTCATAATCATACAGGTAAGAGTAAAGACTCAAGCTCACAAGTACCCGTTTAAAGGGAAGAAAAAGGAAAGGAGATAACAGCAATAAATGCAAACTAGTAAAAAAACTTGAAGCCTCAAACCAACCCAGATAAAAGTACTTGAAACCATCGAAAAAACGATAAGAAATTAATAGATTAAAACCTGCCAGCGAAAAGATGATTAAAAAGCAAACCAGGTAAAATTGAGAGACCAGAGTGAAGAAAAAATTGAGAAGAACGCACCCTCATCTCGGTGTTGCCGAAGAAAGCATCGAAGAGCTTGCGAAAGGCCTGACCCATGGTCGATCTCTGTGTCTGTATGAAACTCTGAAAGCGTCAAAGAGGAAACCTTCTTTTCATGGATAAGAGGGAAGCTTCGATGAGAGTCGAAGTGTTGTTCATGGAAAAATCAGAACCCGTATTAGAGTTGATAATCAGGAGAAAGAGAGAAGAAGAAGAAAATATTTGTTGGCGGAAGATGGGATTGGGAAGCGTTTCTTTTCTTCCTTTTTCTTCTTTCCTTTTATTAAAACAAAAAAAAAAAAAAATATATATATATATATATATATATATAATAATAATAAGAGAATAGAATCTAGAATCAAACAGCGTACGCAGGGTGTTTGTTTTGTGATGCTGCGGAGCCTCTGGTTCATGCGGGCCCACGGCCCACCTTCATTGTTGGACCAGGAGTTCAGAACCAACATTCCATTAAACCGGGCCGAGCTAACATTGGTTATGATACCGGAAAGACATGATATTGAAAATTTTTTGACCAATCTAACCTGTATCATAAATGTGTTGTCTTAACCAATCATGTGCGACTTATCAAAATTTAAGGTAGATTCTGATTGGTGAAAACTCTATTATTATCATGTCTTTTCAATATCATATATTTTCCCACTAAATTAATCATGTCAAAGAAATTTTTTTAAAAATAAATATTGTCCTATGTATTCCAGCAACATAAAAAGCTAGGTTTTTTTTTCGGAAAGCAGATTCATTAACAAGGAGGAACAGTGGGACAAAGTAGGGTGCAGGAAAAGTTCATTGACATTACAAACAGATTGGATTCGATTCAAATTAGGGTAGATTCAAATTTGATTTGATAAAAAAAATCCTAAAGTTTGAATTCAAATTCAAATTCGTTGGATTCTATATTCTCTTGTTCAAATTCGACTTGGATCATTTCATCGGTTAGCTAGTACAAATCCAATTCGATTTGATTGAATAGTCTCACGTCTTTGTCTCTCACTCTCTTCTATGGCTGACCTAGCTTCAACGAATTTGAACAACTAGTGGTGGGAAAGAGGATTTGGAGAATGGGGGCAACAACAAACAACACTATGATTACCGACGAAACTGGAAATGACAAACCAAAAAAAAAATGTGAGGTTTAAGGTGATCTCGGTGGAACTACTGAACTAGAAACGAAAAAGGGAAAATGGAAAAAAATAAATTGGAGAGGGACGAACGATTACTGGTGTTGGATGATGTGAGTGTGTCGAGACCGGCGATGGTGAAGATTGAACGGTGATGGCTTGTGGTGGCAAGCAACAACAACGGCTAGGGTTTTCACTCTTCACTTCTCAGCAATTTTCAGGTTCAAAACAAAAACAAAACACGAAAGCATTGAAGAAAAGGATTTCAGGGTTTGTTTTGTTCGATCATGTTTGATGTCAAACTTCCAATTTTAGGTTTATTTAATTAATAAAATTACAACATATCAATTTTAGAACAAAATGTTAAAATGGGTACAATTGTCTTTTTATAAAATTATAATATATATATATATATATATAGAGGATGGAATTGGATCGAATCCTTTTGGATCAAATTGAGGGTGATTTGAATTCAATCGGAAACCCAAATAAATAATTTTTTTTTGCGATCTGATCCGATCCAAAAGTCCGATAGGGAATATCCGAATTTGCTAATTTTGGATGGGATTCGAGTTCAAATCCGATCAGAATCTGATCCATTTGCACCCCTATACCTCACCACTAAGGGCCTGTAATTCTATATTTGAAAGGACACTGAATAACCATCTCAACTACCAGGTCATCAACTTCTTGGACTAGATTAAAGAAAAACTATATTAACTAATTATATTGACATTTATTAATTTTCATTTAGGCTAATACTTGATTTGCTAGAAAATATGAAAGAAGCAGAATGTTGTAAGTGTGAACCAAAATCTTTACAAGAATTTTCCTCCATATAAGCTATAATTTGATTTGCTAGAAAATATGAAAGAAGAAGAATGTTGTAAAGGAGTGTGGACCAAAATCTTTACAAGAATTTTCCTCCATATGGGAATTTATGCCCAGTTGGTCCTCTTTGTGTTCAACGTTTGTCCAGATTTTCAAAAATAGTTTTCAGAAATATCCATAAAAAGTAGTTTTTTAGACATGATTATTCTTTTCATGGTTAACAATATAATCTATAAAGTTATTTTTCCCTTAAACTAATGAAATATAAAATATTGAAGTAGCACAGAAATGGGGTTTGTCCTATGAAACAAAGTATTGATATATTTGGTATAATATATATTTTTTTTCTTTTTTGCTTCATGGGCTACACAGGATATCCCATCTTCCGACTCTGGTGTAGGCGGGATTCAATCCCAAGTCTCCGTTACAAACGGTTATAGACCTTACCAACTAACCAGTTGCAACTTGCCATATGTATTGGCTTTTGACATGAGCCGATGTATGAAATTCATGGAATTAGGAAAAATCTACATTTCCAAAGTTTTAAGGCTGCATTTGTTTGAGGTGTAAATTCAAATTTTACATGAAAAATGTGAACCTGTTTAATGATTGATGGAAATTGGGATTAGATGATTTTGCAAATTAATACCGACCATGTTTGATTGTCTAAGGTGTAAATTAGATGGAATTATTTGTCATATATGGAAAACTGGTTTTGGAAATGTAATGCTCGAAAGGGAGAAGGAATAGAACATTTGAATCTCTGAGGTGACAGAGAGGTGGAGCGATGTCCAAGTCACATTGATTCTTACATTCTAAACATTATAAGATTGATAAAATATCACGAGATCTGTATGCTGAACCTCTGTTTAGATTTTTCAATATATAGATATGAGACAGATTGGCAACATTCACTCAGATCCAGTAACAAATGGAACCTGCAAGAAAGAGAATAGAGAATGAGAGAGAAAGAGAATGTCTAGTACCAGATGTTCAACGAAGAAGCAGAGGCACCAATGAGAGAGAAAAACAGAGTAGATGGATAAGGGAGGAGAGAGACATGAGGGTGAGAGGAGTTTTAGTTTGATGATAGAAGTCAATGAGTTTTACATTGATAATTTTGATGTATATTTTACATTGATTATTGGTGTAAAGAGAATTCAAAGTGGAGTTTTACACCGATTTCCAGGATAAAATTATACTCCTTCCAAACACATGTAAAATTGAACCGAGGTATAAACTTTACCCCATTTGATTTTCCACCTCAAACAAATGCAGCCTAATATCATGAGTTCACATATGCGCCCCATGAGGGCACCCCACAGCACATCCCAAACGTAGTGTATTGGAAACATCTCCAAATGCTAAATACGGGGGATGTTCCCAATACACAGTTGTATGGCCTGTAGGACACTTGTGGGACGCAGATGTGAATTCTAAGATCTTTCCTAATCTCATTTTTGCAACAAATTGATACGTTAAACATTAAGAATTAGGATGTGATGATTCTTTGAAGTGCTTGATACATGATTTATTTTTCAGTACCGAGTGTGTCAATACTTTGAACCATGGTTTGACATAGATATTGGATTAAATTCATATATACCTCTTAATTACTTTCCTCTTCGTTAGAGAAGCCTGAAAAGGTAATGTAGAGAAGGGTCCCGACTATTATTTGATAAATTCATGCACAATATACATCCTATATCTTTCATGAGTACAGTTATAAGAAAATTTGGAGCCTCAACCTAAGTGCAAAGTCTGGAGATAGCTAGAACAAGCATATTTTGCAAGACAATGAGTCACGCTATTATCTATACCATGGTTTTGAAAATTGGACTGCATCGGATGGTCGAACTAGTTGACGTAGGAATTGGTCAAATAATCGGTTTCATTTCATTTTAAAATCGTTTTTTTGGCAAAAAAACATTAATTTATTGACTTGGGCGGTTGAAACATTGATCCATCAGTCTGGACAACGATTTTAGCCATTTTTTATTCTATTTATTTTTATATTTTTAAGTCAGAACAAACTATGCATTCAAATTGGATGATCAAACCGTTTGACGTAAGAACCAGTGCCCAGATAATTAAACAGTTCTGTGTCCAATAGGATGAACGAATGAAAAAGAAGGATTTACAAACTCACCCAACTGGAGGAGCAAGGAGAAGTCCTGAAAGCCAAATCATCTACTATTTCAGGATTCACTTGGTTGTTAGTAGCATTCATATATACACTTCCTATAATGTATATTCACTTTTTTTTTAAGAAAATATGCCGATTAGCCTAATTAAAAAAATACTAAGAGAAAAAAAAAAAAAGTGAATCCTCTGAAACAAATTTTCAATGGGGCTAAGGTGCCCTTGGTACTGAATACCAAAACACCTTGACATACAAGGGGAAGTAATTAAAAAAGAAACGTAGCTCTGAATTAATCAATATTCCCAAAAGTCTCTAAGAGGAAATGAAAATAACACCAAAATTACTACATCTTATATCTAGAGTTGGATGAAGGAACTGCCACCATTAGGAAAACTTGGAGTAATGGGTCTCTTAACAAAAGAAACTTGTTTTGGAGTGACTAAGCTAAACAACTACAGCTTTTTCTGATTTTTCATCATGGTGCTTTTCTTTAATTTTAGAAAATGTCTTAGTAAAATACTTTTATTAATATGTTAGTATTATTGATAATTTTAACCAAAACTAAAAAAATTATGAAATTCTACGGCATCTGAAACCAAGGAATTAACTTGAGAAATTCTACTTACGACTTTGAATATGATTATCTATCAGTATAGTGCCTTATTTAAGGCTGCATTTGGCATTCCTTATTTTAAGGACTTATTTTATTTTTGTGATAAAAAATAATATTTATAAGAACATTTTAATCACAAAAAGGAGATAAATCCTTAAAATTTTAAGGAATGCCAAATGCAGCCTAAGACAAATTTATGTTCTAATTCCTACTGTAGCTTCTAATGCTTATTGTTTGAAGCTTGTTTTATTGTAAAATAGGGTTATTACTTGGTGTAATTGTAAAATATTGGACCAACAAGCCTGAGAAGACAAGTTCTAAGCCTGAAAGAAGTCATTTTGCACAAAAAAAAAAGGAAAAATTAAAAGAACAATAAAATAAAAGGTTAGAATCATATCCAATCTACACCTCTCGAGAGGGACAAACATTGGGTAATGGTTTTTTTTATGTAAAATAGCTTTGAAATATAATCCAAAATCGTATTTATTTATTTTTCTAATTTTTATTTGAACCAGAAAAAAGAAAACAATTAAGTTAGATGATTGAACCG